CTTTTATATTAAATCATAAACATAAGTTAAGGCTTAAATAAAGGCCCATTACAGCAAATAAAGAGACTGAATGAGAATAAAATGGGAAATATCCTAACACATTCTAACACTCTCCCTCAAGCTGGTGCGAATATATCTCTCATGCCCAGCTTGTTGAGAATGTCACGAAACAGTTTTATCCCTAATCCTTTGGTAAGAACATCAGCCAATTGATCCCCAGACCACACGAAAGGCATACATATAGTGCCACTAGTAAGCTTTTTCTTAATAAAAATGTCGATTAATCTCCACATGTTTGGTTCTATCATGCTGAGCCGAATTGTGGGCTATATTGATGGCGGCCTTATTGTCATAGTATAGCCTCATAGAATTTGTCTGATGAATCTCCAAATTCTGCAAGACCAATCTAATCCATAAAAACTCACACACACCTTGAGCCATAACTCTGAATTCGGCCTCTGCACTAGACCTCGCAACTACATTCTATTTCTTGCTTCTCCAAATAACTAGATTTCCTCCAACAAAGGTACAATAGCCAGAGGTTGACCTTCGATTAGTGACTGATCCAGCCCAATTAGCATTTGTATATACCTCCGCATTAGGATGACCATGTTTAGAAAAATAGAGACCCTTTCCCAGAGAAAACTTCAAGTACCTCAGAATTCGCATAGCTGCCTTGCTAACTCTGCTTCATCATTACCAGTTAAAATGATGTCATCAACATAAACAATCAAAATTGCAATTTTACTGTTTTTTGAATGTTTATAAAATATTGTGTGATCTGCTTGACTCTGCGAGAAGCCACAACTGATAACTGCCTTCCCAAAGCGTTCAAACCACGCTCTTGGTGATTGTTTGAGTCCGTATAATGACTTGTTCAATTGGCTTAACAAGTTTGTATACCCTCTTTCTCCCTCCTTACTAGCTAGTCTAGTGTATAGGTCATCATAAGCTTTCAACTTAGCCTCTCTCACCACTTTTTTGACTTCCTTATTAGCCAATCTATAACTCTTACGATTTTCCTCAGTTCTATCATTCTGTCGCTTTTTAAGGCACTCTTCTTTTACCTTAACTACCGCTTGAACCTCTTCTTTCCACCACTAAGTTTCCCTAGAGCTGAGTCCTGTCCCTTTTGACTCTCCAAGCACTTCCCTTGAGAGTAATGTGGATTAAAAGAATTCTTGAAGAATTAAAGTTTTCTCACCCGACACCTATGAAGGTCTGTTGTGAAAACAAAGCAGCTATATCTATAGCTCATAATCCAGTTCTACATGATCGCACAAAACATATAGAAGTGGATAAACATTTCATCAAGGAGAAAATCAATGCTGGCATAATCTGTATGACCTACCTTTCAACAGGTGAACAATTAGCTGATGTGCTAACGAAGGGACTACACAAGAAGCAATTTGATAAGCTGACTAGCAAGCTGGCTATGGAAGATATCTTCAAACCAGCTTGAGGGGGAGTGCTAGAAATTTGTGTTAATGTATATAATAAGATGGTGGCATGTATATAATATGATAGTGGTGTTGGTGGTAGATAGTGGCATGTATATAATATGATAGTGGTAGGTAGTGGTAATATATAATATGTAAGTGGCATATAATGGGTTATAATGATGTTTGTAATATCTCCTATATAAGGAGTGTCATTTGGTCTTGTAAAATAAGAAGTTTTGAATATAACAGAAATATATTCCTTCTTCCTCATATTTTTGGAGTTCTTCTTCCTCATATTTTCTAAGTCTAGATAATTAGTTTTTTTAATTTATGTAATTTGTTTCTGTCTCATAAGCTAAGCAGTCCTATAAGTTGCACCAAACAGGGTCATTGAATTGATATTTCTCTCGAATATCCATCACTGATGTACTTAGGCTTCGTTTGGGAACGGGCTATTTTAGTAACTTTTTGGCTTTTTGACTAAAATATGAGGTTAAAAAAACTAGTATGTTTGGGATGATTTTTTGGCTTTTTACAAAAAGATGTGCAAAAAGTAGAGAGGAAAGGGAATCTTTGACTTTTTTGGTATAAGTTGTTGGCTTTTTGATTTTTTTAGTAACTTTTTGGCTTTTTAGTTCCATGAATGAGGCTGCTGTCCCTTGTAGAATATTTAGGACTTGACCAACCATAAAGGTAATCAGTGACTTGGTCATTTTGCAAAAATGAAAATTGGACAGTGTTAATATTTTCTTTGTTTTTTCACTGAAAAAATTTGCAATTGACATGTTAGGATAGGTAGTTTGAGAATTACTACAAAAGGATATAATTTGGAAATACCATTAACAAGCAATCTAGTAGCTGTTTAAGCCGTACTTCCTTGAAATTTGTTGTAAAATTGACCCACCAAAACCATTTTCATTGCTCATTTGTCATTTGGTGAGTGCTTCTTGCTTTAATTATCAAGGATTTGAATGAGAATGCACTTGGATCTAGGCGTAAAGACCATTCTTTCTTTTCGTTCTTGTTTTCATTTCTTTTTGTCTAGTTTAATGTCTACTTGTTGGAGTTTCTTTTTAATATTCTAAAAAAAAAACAATTTAGAGAATTGGCTCACTTTTCAAACTATTTAGGAAACTAACCTGCTTTTGAAATCGCATTTTGCACATGCAATTTCATCATGTCATCATAAATTGCATTCTCAATTGAAATTGCATGTTGAAAATGCAATTTCAATTTCAAAATTGCATTTTGAAAATGCGATTTCAAAAAGTAGGTTAGTTTCTTAAATAGTTTGAAAAGTGGGTCAATTCTCTAAATTGTTTTTTTTTTTTTTCAGAATATTAAAAAAAAAAAATCCTACTTCTTGTGGATATGGTCGATAGACAAAAAAATGGGCCATTCATTTTAGCTGATGTAATTGTATCCTTGTATTGTCCTTGCAGGGAGGCCTCAAATTCCATATTGACTTTTTTATCCGATGTATTTGATATTTCAAACTCTACTCAAGGAGAAAAATATCTACCTTCCAGGGATAATGTAATTATGCCTCGAGGTGCCACCATCACCAGAATTTTGGTTGCTTCTTTAACAGGAGCGCTCCCAAGCTCTCGACTGGAAACGGTATAACTTTCTTTTTTAGAAAATTATTTATTTCTCAGAGACTCCACTTTAGCAGCAGCTCTGTTCAAGGAGTCGTCCTCTTTTTTAACACTTGATACACATTTGCCTGTGAAGTCAACAGGAGGAAGTTATAATTAGGGCAGCAAATGAACTGAGTTCCTCATGAGCGCGGCTCGGCTCGGTTAATATTTATTTAAATAATATGATAAATATATTATTTATATATTAAAAATATAAAATGTATTAGCTGGCTGAGCTTGATTTGCCAAGTCAAAATTTTCTTCATTTTCGAGTTTCAAGCCAATCTTGAGTTGGATTAATTTCTGAGTCGAGCTCGACCCTCACAAAGCTCGGCTTGGCTCAGTTGCAGTCCTAATTATAATTGAATTTATAAGTGAGTCCATGTTCAAATACGTTATTATATTTGATACATCACCGACCTTGTTTTTTTTGTTAGGTTATCTATGCCCTACTATTGCTAACTTGAGCATATGGGTTGAGAGCTTTGGAGTGGGCCAAGGATAGTGTTTCACTAATTCCATCAACCGCGGTGACAGACATGGAGAGGACGAGATTTCTAGGAGCATTGTCAGATGTGGCATCTGGGGTCGATATTAATCCTCTCACAATTCCTATCGAAGAGCTGTCAGAGGTTTGTCGCCGTAACAGAACTGTTCAAGAGATCGTCCAAGGAGCCTTGAGGCCACATGAGTTAAATACAGTAGCTGTATCGTAGTAGTCTTGAGATTAAAAAAAATGGGCCATTTTGCTTCGGCCTTTGTCTGTCATAGTTTCTTGGCTGTGCATTCGCTGTTGTTTTTTTTCCCATTATAATTTGTGTATCTATCATCAATCATCATTTTTTCACAGGTGGATATGATTGGGAGGTATAGAAATGTTGCATCTTTTATTCGGATCTTTGAGCGGTTTTTAGTTGTTTTTCCTTCTTTTTTATTTCTAATTTGTTTTGGGGGACAGTTGTTTGGTATAGAGTTGTAAATTTGGGATTTAATGCAACAGTTTAAAGATAGATATCCAAGGGACCAAGTAGAGAAAATGTGGAGATCTGGTCATGAGATTGTAAGGTCAGCTGGTAAGCAGGGGAATGGAGGATGGCAACCGGTGGTTCGTAGACATGGGGATCGAGGAGTTGGGTTTCAAAGGGGGAATACCATATACTCTGTGTTTGTGGATAACATACCAACATCTATGGGGGCGAAAGGGTTGTCTAAACTCTTCTCCAACTTTGGAGTTGTATTGGATGCGTATATTCCACACAAGAAAAGAAGATCTACAGGTTCTAGGTTTGGTTTCATAAGGTATGGTTGTCCGGTAGCAACGAATATGGCTCTGCAAAAAGCAAATGGCCTTTGGTGTGATGACAAAGCGTTAAAGGTTAAAATGGCTGAGTTCAGGAAGGAGTGTGAAAACAAGCAAAGCAAGTCACAACAAGTACAGAAGGGGTGGGTCAAGGAAGGCATACACTCTGTACATGATACCCAACAGGGGAAAAAGTCATATGCTGATGTGGTCAGAGGCAGGGACTTTCAATCTAATTCAGGTCGCACGATTAAGGTACAGAAAGTTGGTAATGGTTGGCTGCATGAAAGTGTAGTGGTAAGATTAAAGCCAATTTTTTCAGTTGAAGATTTTAAGGAGGAGTTACAGGGACGAGGTCATGGAGATATCACAGTTAGAGTCGGTGGTGGAAGACAAGTAGTTCTCTCATTTCAATCAGTGGAAGCTATGAAGGAAAAGCTACCGTTCATGAAGGACTGGCTTACAGTTTGGTGTGAATCGGTGGAGGAATGGGAAGACAGCATGGTCTTGGAACAGGTGAGGCAGGTGTGGTTAAGCTGTTATGGTGTGCCACTGGTCCTGTGGAACAAAGTGGGGTGAGGTTCTGAAATTGGATGAAGATACAGCTAATCTGAAAGCTTTCCATTGCGGGAAGGTAAAGGTAGCAACAAGGCACATGGGCGCCATAAATCATACCTTAAATCTAGAATGCAAAGGTATCCTATACCCAGTCCGGATCTGTGAGGAACAAATTATAGTTTCACAAATAGTAAAAGAATATTGTATCTGCCAATCCTTCATGAGGAACAACGCTGATAGTTACAGTTCAGAGGAAGAAGTTGAGAATATTGCAGATCGAGGCAGCAGACAAGAGGTAGAAGAGGATGACGTGGAAGTCCATATGGGTGATGAGGTGGCTAAAGACTGTGATGTGGAAGAAGGGGTTAGGGTGGATGCACAAGTTAACACGAATGACTTGGAGGAGGATGCCAGCTTAAGGGTGGTTTCGGTGGTGGAGGAGACAGACATGACGGAGGGAGCGTCAGGGGTAGGCACCTCACGTAAGGAGGGCGCTGAAAAGAAGCTCTGTAAAGGAGTGTCAGAGAAGGGTGGCGCACGCAAGGAGGGTAGCTGTAGAGTTGATGATGAAGTGGTCACATCTGGGTTCATAAGAAGCACGAGTAGGTCTGCTGGGAAGCAACCAGGAATTAACCTGGAAGTAAATTTAAACAGGGCCCATTTTGAAACATGTAGGATTGGGTCGGCCCAAAGGGCTGAAGCTCCACTTATTTGGGCTGATAATAGTAGCAACTCTATCACTGAATCTACTAATGGAGTGGGGCAATCCAATTTTGAGTTTAGGAGGGTGTCCAACAACCAATCACCTCCTGAACCTGCTATTTGTGAGGAGCAGCCCAACTCAGTGAGCAGAAGGGTGAATACAACTTATATACGAAGGAAATATATGGAGTCAGGAGTAGAAAATAAAAGCCATAAATTTTCTCAGAAGGGGAAGAAAGCAGTGGGAAAGAAATTTGTGAAGCCACCAATGAATCTAAGGAAAGGGGCAGTGTTCAGGTCAGCAGTAGCTGCTATTTCTCTATCTATGGCAAGTAAGTCTAGTAGAGGATGCTTGAGATTATCAGAGGCAGAAGCATCACTTCAGATTGGTAAAGTGTTGGGGATAGCCTGTGATGGTAAGGAAGAGGAGATAATTAGCAAGCTAGAGGAACTAGAGGCCAACGATAGAAGGAAAGTGGGGTGTAGGGGAGGTGAAGCTAAATGAATTTTCAGTTCTGGGAGTTTGGGTGCTAAACAATTCTTGCAATGAAGATACAATCTTGGAATGTTAGAGGCCTTGGCAGGCCTGAGAAAAGGAGAAAAATAAAAAAAAGTCTGGCTGGAAGGAAAATCAGTGTAGTATTGATCCAAGAGACAAAGAGCTCAACAATAACTCCTGAAGTAGTAAAATCCATCTGGTACGAAGATAATTTTGAGTTTATGGCAGTGGATGCAGAAGGCAGAGCAGGTGGGCTGTTATGTATTTGGAATCCAGGGGTGTTCCAATTAAAATCTTGCTGTGGCAACCGTAATTTCATCCTGTTGTCAGGTACTCTCTTTTCCTCCTTTAACTGTGTGATTGTTAATGTATATGGCCCATCGGAGGTGGCTAAGAGGAAAGAATTATGGGATAATTTTGCTCGGTTAAAGAATACTTTTTTGGGGCCATGGTGTATGGGGGGCGATTTCAACGAAATAAGGACCAACTCAGAAAGAATTGGGTGTTCTCGAAGAGACAGAGGAATGAGGGAGTTTAATACCATGATTGACCAATTAGAAATGATTGATTTACCAATGCTAGGTAGGAAATTTACCTGGTGTAACTCACAAATTAGAGAGAAATGGAGCAGAATCGACAGATTTTTACTTAATCATGAGTGGCTACAAAATTTCAATTTCAAGTTATGGGGACTTCCTAGGATACTATCTGACCACTGTCCTATAATTTTGATGGAGGACGAAAGAGATTGGGGACCTAGACCTTTTAGGTTTCTGAATGCTTGGGCTCTCCATCCTAAGTTTATTTCCTTAGTGGAGGAATCTTGGTCAGAATCTCAGGTGTTAGGTTGGGCTGGGTACAGATGTCTTAAGAAGCTTAAAGCCTTGAAACAAAAATTAAAAGTGTGGAATATTGAAGTGTTTGGGAAGATTGAATTTAAAATCAAAGCTGCTGAAGAGGAAGCACATGCTATTGAACTAATTGCTGAAGAAAGAGCACTCCTGGGGAATGAACAAGCTCGAAGAAGGGAACTAATGGGGGAAGTTTGGAGATTGAATAAAATGCTAGAATGGTCATGGTTACAAAAATCAAGAATGGATTGGGCCTTAAAAGGAGATAGGAACACAAGGTATTTTCACATAATGGCTTGTAACAGAAATAGCAGGAACTCTCTGTGTTCAGTGATGGTAAATGGTGTAAGGGTTGAGGAACCTATGGAGGTCAGACATGTGGTGTTGACTCACTTTAGGAATCTCTTCTCTGAAACGTGGGTTGTTAGACCTCACTTAGCTGGGCAGTTCAAGAATATTGGTGGAAGACATGCAGTGGATATGCTAGAAGCAGAGTTTACGGAGGAGGAAGTTAGGAATGCTATCAAGAGCTGTGAAGGCAATAAAGCTCTGGGGCCTGATGGCTTTAATTTGGCTTTCTTTAAGAAATGTTGGGGAATAATTAAAGCTGAGGTAATGCTCTTCTTTAGAGAGTTCCATCAGAATGCCACATTGGTTTCTGGTTTAAATAGCTCTTTTATTGTTCTAATCCCAAAAGTGGACAGTCCATCACACTTGAGCGAATATAGGCCCATAAGTCTTATTGGCTCCTTGTATAAAATCCTAGCCAAAGTTTTGTCACACAGGATGAAACAAGTGATGCCACAGGTAATTAGTGAGGCCCAATCTGCGTTCCTGGGGGGCAGGAATACTCTTGATGGGGTCCTTATTGCAAACGAGATAGTGGATGGGTGGAGAAAATTTAATAGGAAAGGTTTGGTTTTGAAACTAGACTTTGAGAAGGCATATGATTCGGTAAATTGGGAATTCTTATTCAGTATGCTATCCAACTTTGGTTTTGGAAATAGATGGGTGAAATGGTTGAAAACCTGTGTTACCTCCACAAAGGTGTCGGTCCTGGTAAATGGCTCTCCAACTGAGGAATTTTGTCCACAACGAGGTTTACGGCAAGGCGATCCACTGTCACCTTTTCTATTCAATATAGTGGCTGAGGGGTTGAATATTTTGTTTGAGAGAGCCAAGGAAATGGGTTTAATCCAAGGAGCTGTCATTGGTAATAATGGGGTAAGAGTTACGCATCTACAATTCGCCGATGATACAATTATATTTTGCGAAGCTGAGTGGGTGGAAGTGGTGACAATTAAAAGAATTCTCAGGTGCTTTGAAATTCTTTCGGGGCTGAAAATTAACTATCATAAGAGTGTGATTGCTGGCATTGGAGTAGAGGAGGGTCTGATGCAAAGTTTTGCAGCTAAATTAAATTGTGTTCACCAAAATTTACCTCTAAAGTACCTTGGGTTACCTCTAGGAGCTAATCCTAGCAGGTTAAGCACTTGGAAGCCAGTTTTGGACAAATTTAAGAAAAAATTACCCACATGGAAGAGAAGGTTGCTATCGTTTGCTGGGAGGCTGACTTTAATTAAATCCGTTATGAGCAATTTGCCTACTTATTATCTGTCATTGTTCAAAATACCCGAGGGGGTGGCAAAGGAAATTGACAAAATTCAAGCTAAGTTTCTTTGGGGGGGATCAGATTTAAGAAGGAAAGTTCACATGGTTAGTTGGGAGAATATTACCAAGAGCAAAACTTTGGGAGGTTTGGGAATCAGAAGAATCACTGATATGAATAAGTGCCTCCTATTGAAATGGTGGTGGAGGTTTGGGGTGGAAAATCACTCGCTATGGAAGGAAGTCATATGCTCAAAATATAACATGGGGGGTGGAAGATGGCTGCCAGATTTGGAAGGAAGAGGTAGAGTTTCAAAAATTTGGTCTGACATAGTTAATGCTATTACCTCTAAGCCTACATTACATAATTTCTATCTTGAAAACTCAGCAATTATTTTGGGGAATGGTAGGAGAGCACAATTTTGGAGGGATAAATGGGCAGGGGAGTTGTGTTTAAAGGATGAATTTCCCAGACTGTTCTCTCTCTCTA